TTTGATATTATTAACTGGACAATATAAAAGCAAAGGTGCACAAATAAAGGACGAGACGAGGGAGAATTACAGGGAGGAGGAAGACCTTGAAGGCCGGGTCGCGGGTGGTGCACAGCGCTCAGGGACAGATGGGGAGAAAGCTGTGGGGGCTGAGCTCAGAGGGGAAACCGAGGGAGGGGAGCGCGGGAGGCAGCTGGGAACTGCGAACTGGGATGGCGTCCGAGAAGCTAGAACTTTATCCTGTGGACCCTGGTGTCGGGTGGGAAGGCAGAGGGAACGAATTCCATTCTGGACCAGTCTGCAGGAAGCCGGAAGGAGGCGAGCTGCTTTGGAAAGAGCCTGGTGGAGATGAGGATTGTGGCTGGACCGTCAAGGGTAAAGATGGGAGCAGGGAGCTGGGTGCAGTGGTGTGCGCCTGAATTCCCAGCACTCTGCGAGGCTGAGGCAGGAGGGTCTTAATTATGGTCAAGCCCAGTCTGTGCAACTTCTTGATTTAGCAAGATCCCATCTCAAATTTTTTTATGAATAATTTTTTTAAGGGGCTGGGTATGTAGCTCAGTGCAAAGGCCATAGTTTCAGTCCCTAGAGGAGAGGGCTAGGAAGTGTAGCCAGATGATGAGATGCCGGGTGACCAGGGCCTGGGTTTATTCCTTCACACTGCCTTTTCCAGCCCCACCTCAGAAGCCCATTCATCAGTGCCTCTCCTACTATTTTTTCTCTCTCCTGCTTCCTTTCCTGCCTTCACTTGCTTTCGTTTGTTTTTGTATTTATTTGTTCTTGCAACAGGGTCTCACTATGCAGTCCAAACTGGCTTTGAACTCACTGTATAGCCCAAGCTGGCCTCAAATCCAGAGATCCTCCTGCCTCAGCCTCCCAAGTGCTGGGGTTACAGGTGTGTGCCACCACACCCAGCGTCTACCTCCACTTCTTGAAAGCATGTGAGATATTTGATTGTTTCCAACAAACTTACAAACTAAAGGCTGCTTGGCTGAGAGAAGCTGTCAGAACCAGCCTATGAGCTGAGCTGGAACCTGACCAAGGGGTGATGAGGATGAACAATAAAGAGATGCAGAAACATATTAAAATCTGAGGGGCAGGGGGTCACGTCTCCCTTCGACATAGAACCCCAAGCGCACCTTTATTCACTCAGACACAGGCACGAGCGATTAGAATTCCACAGGATCCATCTGTCTCCCACCCTCCATGGTACTTCTCCGGGTAAACAACTTCACCTCAGGCCTCTTACTTCTCCCTCTGCATGTCAGCACTCTTGCACGCCCTCTTTCTCCCCAGTGCTCACCGAGGAGGCCAGTTAGGCCCCATTCCTCCCATCTGATCTCCATGAGAAGCTGTAGAGAGCACCGTGAGACGAGACCAAGCCTTGCTAGGAGACATGAAGTAACTGAGGGGTAGGGCCTAGGGCCCACATGGGACAGGGAGGATAACACCTCTCTACTCCAATCCTTTTTTGGTTTGTTTGTTTTGTTTTGTTTTGTTTTCTTGAGACAGGGTCAAGACAGGGTCTTCCTATGTAGTCAGACTAAACTCAAACTCATAGCGATCCTCCTGCCTCGGTCTCTTGAGTACTGAGATTACAGGGCCTACACAACCAAACCCAACTAGTTCAGCTCTTTAAAGTAGTTTCCAAATAGTGTTAATTGAGCACCTGCATTCTGTAAACCAACTGAGTTTGAATCCACCATTTACTGGATACGAGATCATGGGCAAGTTTTCTCTTCTACCCTCGACATTTCTCATCTGTAAAATGGAAGTAATAATATCTTTCTCGAAGCTTTATTATGAAAAGTGTATCAATAATGCATGTAATATGCCTGACTCATTAAGTGTCCATTTCAGGATGAGATCCCTTAACCAAAATGCTTGGGACCAGAACTGTTCAGGTTGTAGAGTGTTTCGAACTTGGAATATTTGTATAGACCTTGTGGACAGGACACCCCTCATCTGAAATCCCAAACTGTCCAACATCTGAAACTTTTTGCTATTCATCAGATGCGAGCTGCTCAATCTGTATCACTATCATTATCATTATCTGTATCTGGAAGCATCACAAGCAACCTTGCTAGTAGGTGTCATCTCGACTTCCTCCCAAAGCTACAAATGCCTCCTGCAAAGGAGGCCCTTGGAATTGGGGTTAAACTCTTTCGCATCGATTCTCAGAAAGATTCCAACTTGTCTCTCCTGGAAGATTCCAAACTCTAGAGGGAGGGTGGCCTTCCAGAAAATAGTCCCTTAACCCAGTGTCTTTCAAACTGCAGCTGTAAAGCACGTTCATGGCTTTGACATCAACTTGGTGGAGCCCCACTAGCCTTTCTTTTTAAAAAGAAATAAATAGAATAGATTAGACCAATATCGGCTGCAGAAGATACAGGTTGAGTGTGTTTCATGAAGCCTTTGATGTTAGTTGCATAATTATACCTGCTTGTATGTCCTGAGTTTCAGTATAAAGCCTGTTTCTCACTGTGGTTCATGGTCATACAAGAATTTGAGAAACATCGTAACTTAAAAGATCAGAAAAAAAAAACAGCTGTTTTCTTTTATTCTCAGAGAGATATCAAGGGTCCCATTCAAGTGAGTCATTGTTCTGTATTACAGAAAAATCAGACAGGAGTGTGGGGACTACATTTAACTAGGGACACAGTGTATTGTTAAGAATTTGTATTATTTCTCATCTTCTCTTCCTCCAGTACTTATTAAACACAGGCACTTTTCGAGGTCAAGCTCAGTTCTCCTTTCCAGGCCTCTAAATGACCTTCATGGGACAGAGGTGTGGCTCAGAGGTAGAGCACTTGCCTGGCACGCACAAGGCCCTGCGTTCAATCCCCAACACTGCTCAATAAGTCAATGTGCATGGCTTTCCAGGAGGTGGTAGTTACCCCACCACCACCACCACCAGGCTTCCCCTAGTGGCTCTGTGGATGAATCCTGAACTCCTGGAGCACCTGACTGCAGAGAGCAGCTGGGACTCACCCCATGCAGGATCTCCTGACTCCTCAAATTCAAACTCAGCTCATCATCTGCTCTTTAGAGAAAGAAAGCCCTCGTCTTGGATCCTTCTCTCAGTGCCTCTGTTCTCACGGTGACACAGGGACGGAAATTCGGGGATGGCTACGTCTTCTTTCTCCACCCATCGTGGCCAATCCTTTGAGTTCTAGCTCATGCCCGCCTCATCTGTTCATTGGCTCCTCCTCTCAGAGACTTACATCACCTTTTTATTGACCTCCTTGTTTCCAGTTTACCTTTCCCCGTGGGCCCTTCCTGTTGCCATCAGCTACCTAACCAAGACACAGATTGCCTCACGATATTGACTCTGATCATTCTGCTTCATGGAAATCTGCAGTAACCTAACCCTTCAAGAATAACCAAATACACCGGGCATGGTGGCACACACCTGTAATCCCAACGCTTGGAGTGGCTGCGTCAGGAAGATCACCATGAGACCCTGTCTCAATAATTCAGTAAATAAATAAAAATACAAATATGCACACATAGGATTTAAGGCCCAAGCCAGGAAGGGCAAATAACTATCTCAAGTGTCAATCTCGATGGATGCATAGTGACTATTTTGGAGAACTGTGTTAGGGGAATTCTGAGACTGCGTACAAACTCAGCAGGAAATATTAGCGAAAGGCAGAAGAGGAAGTAGATATTCCTGATATAAGCTCAATCTATTCTCAGATACATTTCATCAGTGCCTATCAATTTTACAAAATATTGGGTTGCTTTTCTCTTTTTTCAAAATACTGGGTTTCATTGTGGCGTTTTCATACAGGTCCGTATTTGGATCATATCCATCCCCCCAGATCCCTCCTTTACACCCTCCTTCAACCTATGTTACTTCCTCCTGCAAACTCTAGTACCAACCCTGAGCCACAGAATGACTTATCATTACTCAAGTAAACTGTGCAGTTCTGCTAACCAGGAAGACCGTCTGCTGTTGGGCTTCCTTCCTTTTCAGGTCCAGGCTCCCCTTGCCACAGCTTCCTCCTGTAAAAACCCTGAGTGTTCCTGCAGCACTCTACCTGCACGGTGTGTATGTGTCAGTGTTTCTACCTCTCCTGCTGGTACAAAAGCGGTGTACGTGTCTTATTTGTCTCCCAAACCCTAGATTCCAGCCACAAACCTATAGGAGTCAACAAAGTTCATTGAATGAATGGATTATCTAAGCAATATTCTTATGGTCCATTGACATGTGACTTTTTGAAAAAAAATGTCATAGGAAGTCTCTTAAACCAGGAACCATCTCACAAGTAAGATGCTCTGGTCGAAATTTCCCTATTGCCAACTGGGAGCAAAATACGTAAGCCAGAAGCCCCCAATGATGAGGTAGGTGGCAGCACTTCGAATGCAGAAGAACCACTTTCACTTCTATAGCATGACAGTCAACACTTACAAATGCCTCTGCCCGATTCTGACAGGCTTGGTGCCCCTTTCACCAGTGAGTCTCGGAAGAAGATGCCCAGTGCTATCCCAACAACCATAAGAAGGAGGTGCAGCCCAGCATGGTGGCACACACCCGTAATCCCAGCTACTCAGGGAGGCTGAGGCAAGGCAACTGCAAGTTGGAGTCCAGCCTGGCAACTTAAGAAGACCCAGTCTCAAAAGAAAAAAGAAAAAGGGCTGGGAATTACTGAGTGCATAGTGGTGCGTGGCCCCACCTACTTCACAGTGGAGAAGGGAAGATCCCTTGATCCCAGAAGGTTAGGTCAAGCCTGGCCAACATAGCAAGACTCTGTCTCTTCAAATAACAACAGAATCATAATGAGTTGGGAAACCACAACGCCGCACCATACAGACCCTCTGGGAAGCCCCCCAGCCCACCTGTGCCCTACGTGAAGATCCCTGGTCCCTCTCATCGGTCATCTAGATCAAGGCCAGTGGCCTCACTCTATACTCTCCAGTTGAGCAGCAAACTGCAGGACACTATTTCTAATGTTGTGACAGCCTGAACCACTGAGAGAGTAGTTGCAAGCATCCAGGGACCTTATCTTTCCTTTACAGGAAAATAACTTTTATTATTGTTCCTTGAATGCCTATGAGGGACAAAAAAAAAAAAAGAAAAAGAAATTGAAGAGAGACAGTGACAGACTTGTTAATTTCCAGAGTTGATGCCAAGTCCTGTCTTAGAGGAAGGACATCACAAGCATTTTGCTCTTCCAAGAAGTAGAATGCCTGAGATTTTTAATTTCAAGCAGTGAAAGGCAAACGGCCTGAGCCAAAATCCCCGAGAACACCATGATTTCAACGATGTGGGGGTTATCTTCTGTCTTTTCCCTCTGTGTCTGTGTGGTTCCTCCAACCAAGTGGGTTGGAAAAGTTCAAGCACAGTTCACAGCAGAGAACATTCTGTACTCGGCACACCAGGCTGGGCTGCTGTCTGTCAAACAAGATCAACCACATGATCGCAGAGCTGCCGCCAGCCCCCAGCCCAGCGCTTGAATACAGCGCCCGTCAGAGGCTGTGAAGGTGGGACACCCACGTGCACACGCCAAGCTGCGCGTCGGAGGTTCGGGCCCTTTTCGGCCCTTTAGTGCAGTTGTGGCTGCTTCTCTTCGGAGGGTCAAGGAGGGTCTTCGTTTGGTGGCTCTCGTCAGAGGTAAATCACAGCTGAGGCATTTCCACGGAAACACCGCCTGTGTGTGCACTTCTGCGCTGGCATGGATTGGAGCTTTTCAGTCTGTTTGGATGTAATCAGATGACAGCAGTACACTAAATACAGCACGGCTGCCCGCCTGGGCTGAGGGAGGGAGAGGGAGCCAGGGAGAGAGGACAGAAGAGCAGAGGAGTAGAGTGTAGCTCGTTGTTGCCCCCATCCACACCCCTAGCTTTGCCATCTTCTTCTGGATCCAAAGCTTTGTCTTCTTTTGTCTAGAACTTAGCATGCGACTCAATACATATTTATTGAGTGCTCATTTGGAGCCAGGGCTCATGCATAAAATAACACCTGAAGCAAGGTTTTTCTAGTGAAATGAAAACCTGGCCTTGAAGCCAGAGGACAGAGGAGGCAGGACGGAAAGGAAAGCTGTGCGTGTTCACACGCAGACGGAGGGCTGGGGGTGCAGAGGCTGCCAGGCTGAGGGTCCTGAAGGTGGGCGATGTTTTGAAGGGTGACAAATCAGAGCTAGGGCTGCCTTCCAGGTAGAAGTCCAGCCTGTCTCCAAGAGGAGAAAACAGCGAAAGCGTCCCCAGCTGGCTCGCAGGGAAGCGGGTTGGACTTCCTGCCCCCGCTAAAGGTGTCTATCGCCATCCTGCGCGGCTGGGAGACCTCTGTCCAGCAGGGACCCGGGTCAGCATGGAGAAGCAGAAAGCGCCCAGCACGGCTGACTGTGGATCCTGATCGTGGTGCCTCTGCCCTTGTGACATCAGGCAAGTTCTTCTGACTTTGTGCCCCTGAGCCTCCGCTCTCTGTGGCCTAGTGTGAACTGCCTTGGGATTTCAGGAAATAATAGATGCCTTTGTTTGTCACAAACAAACAAAATTTAGCAGATGGCAGCCACTGTTACTATTAGGGAACTCCCAGTCAGAGAGAGCTGGTACACGTGGTCAGTTGACAAGTCCCACCCGCACCTACGTGTCCTCTGCAACGCTTACCAGCCACACGGTCTCACAGGTTATCTTCTCCGTGGATGTCTGCTGAGCCCCTGCACCTGGCGCCATGCTTCATGCCAAGCACAAGGCCCAGAAGCGGCAAAGACCTTGTCTTGGGGACGTTTCCTCACCTTTCTGGGGAAGGCAAATGGCACGGCTTACCCCGGGGCAGCTGGCACAGATTCCTCACAGACCGCCTTCCTTTCATGTTCAGGCTGGTTTCTTCCAGGTCCACAATGATCCCCATGATTACACTGCGCCTCCTGAGAGAAAACGAAGGCGTGAGGTGCATTGCGAGCTGGGGGTGGCCAGGAACAGCCCTGACACAAAACGTTTGTCAGGACTGCACTTCTAGAGTGTAAACACTCCGTCTCACTGCAGGGCCAGAGCGCCTGCCAAGACTTTGGAAAACAAGTGACATTAGCACCTCTGGAGTGGTTGGATAGGCCGCACAACAGCTGCTGCTGAACAGAGTGTGGAAGGGAGGTGGCCTCAAGGACTGGGACCCCCCCAACCACAGCACTTACTGGCTCAGCACTCCGATAAAGCACAAGACCTTAGGCCACCACACATGGCCCCGGCTATGCCCCAGCCCATGTCCCAGAGGACTCACTGAAGGTGGTCTCACAGACTTCCCTTCTGAGGTCACTGATAGGATCCCAGAGTTCAGCAGTGGAGTCAATCAAGTGTCATTAGAACGGAGGCCCCAGTCAGACCTTGGAACTGGTCCCCGGAATATCTGGAATTCTTTCTTCCCTATGGAGATCACCTGTGCCTTTCCCAGGATCTACCCCTCATGCTGAGAATCCTGCTTAAAATACTAACAGCACAGAAGAAATCTCAGAAGCAATCTCCTCTACCCCACTCCCCAAGGAGTCTCCTGTTGGGGCTACTGCCACCCGCAGCCAGTTACAGGTGGGATTTCTCAGAATGCCAGTGTCTGTACAGGGGGGTAAAAGCCTAACCTTAAGGATTTGAGGAGGATCAAGCTAAATAAATCCAGGGAGTAAGCAAGCAGGCGAGATGATCACAGAGGGAATAAATGAAGGGAAGGCGTTCCCAGAGAATTAACCAAGAATTCCCACCAACCCACACACACCTGGGGGGAAGAGCCCTACGAGCTGCGTGCTTGTTAGCCATTCATTATGCGCCAAGGGCTTTAAATACTGTCTCCTGTTTAATCCCCACAGTCATCCTGGGGGCTTGGGGTGCTACTGTCCCTGTCACAGATGAGGGAGCCAAAAGTCAAAGACAGCTTGTCTTGGTATCGTACAGCTAAGACAAAGCAGAGCACACAGTTGAACCCAGATACACACAGCTGGAAAGCCCAGGTTTATTTCATGACACTATTCTGCCCCCCATATGCAAAATCTTACTGGAATACGCCTGAAATGATCTTGTATGTTTCCTTTGGTTATTCAAAGCCTAAAGTCTCAAGTCAAAGTTCTAATACCCAGTCCTACTTTCCAGCCTCATCTATTTTGTCCTATCTCAGTTTATATTGTCAGTATTTACTAAAAATCCACAAGGTACTGTCCTAGGTTCTACAGAAGATGAAAAGGTGAGTTCAGGATAAGTGCAGCCCTCAAAAGAACTGCTAGTCAGTCTGGATAAGATGGGTTGTGCTGCCGTAACAAATAATCTCTAAATCTTAACACAACACATTTCCTGTTTACACCACACACTGGCCCATTGTGAGCCGGCTGAGTCCTTACTCAAGGACCTGGGCTAATGGACAATTAATTGTCAGATATCTTAAACATGGCAGTCACCATGATGGAGGGAAAAGTACACTCAGTCACAGGCTCACACTAATGCTACTCATTGGCCAAAGCAAATTAGCCACTCATAACTTCAAAGAAGTAAGGAAGTACAAATCTGTCTCAAGTCTGGTGATGGAGGAAAAACCTGAAAAATTTGATGCATAGCCCTAATAATAACTCTAGTCAGTGGAGTGGAATGACTCAAAGCTTCCAGCTACACATTCCTCAACAGCGCAAGGCCAAATGATTAAGAGCCCTCCGAATGGGTGCATTCAGAGCTCACAGCCTAATGATGCGACAAGAGAAAGAATTGTGCCTGGGCTGGAGACCTCGGGGGAGGATGGAGCTAGGAAAGACTACGTTGAGCCTTGAAGAGTGGGAGGAGTGGGACAGACCTACCAGCCCAGTCCAGATGCATCTGTCCCGGCCGACAGTAGGTGCATGGGGACCCAGCACTCATCCTGACAGCACGGATCGTTCCAGGCCTCGAGAGACAAGTGAGTGAACACCCGAAGGCAAGAACAGGCGTCGTGGGCTGGAGGGGAGGAGGAACTATCGGAGCGGAGCAGAGGGCTGGGGTCACGGAGAAATGGCGCTAGTTTCGAAGGAATGGAAGCTCTTTAAACAGGAGAAAAGCATGATTAAAGTGGGACTTCAGGGGCTGTAGTCAGGGAGGACACTCTTGTTTATTCTTCATTTCGTTCCACACAAACTTTAATTATTTTACGTAGGGAATGCAAAGGCATATGAGGCTTGATTCCTGCCCTTAAATTGCTCCAGTCTCTAGTAGAAGAATAAAATACTCTGGTTATTTGTAATGCCTTAGCCTTCCAAAACCTCAGATACTTTGACGGGCAGAGCATAGCATTTCAGGGAAGGAAGACTATGGAGGAGAAGGGGCTGAGCAGGCTAAATTGCTCAACGGGGGTTGGAGGGGTGGAAGGAGGCTGCAGCCAGCACAGCTGGAAGAAGGTAGAGAGTGGGTGCTTGGAAGAGACAGCTAGAAATGGGAGAAAAGGTTCCCAGAGCGAATGGAGAGTTTCAGTGGGGATTTTGTGCACACGTACATATGTGTGTGTGTGTGTGTGTGTGTGTGTGTGT